TTATCTTCTGTGTCTGTGTTAATTGGTTTCCCTTTTCTTTGTTGAAGAGGGTCTGTGCAATCCTTCTGCCTAGTCCGCCATCTTGCCCCGCCTCCTCCACTTGCAAGCTTTTAAGATCCCAGTTGCTACTTCCCAAAGTAGCATGTGGAACACTGTTTTTGTGTAGTATGTTACACCAATTAAGCTTGATGTCCCTTGCAGCTGTGGTCCTGAGCTCACAGGTCCCTTGGTCCCTCTGGGTAGCTGGCTGTGGCCAAGAAGTGACTACAACCTTGTCCCTTGTCAGCTCTCCTATATATCTGGGGATTCTTACAGAACATACAAATACACTTGTAGAAACACTGTCTGCTTTCCTATACATGTTTATTGAACCTCTTTTGACAGATCTGTATGTGAAGCATTTGGTATATACATTAATTTTACTTATAATCTGACAGTGAAATTTTTGAAGGAGTTGAAACTATTTTTAAGTAAAATTTTTTTTACACTTACTAATTTATTAATTTGTTTGTTTGTTACTTTTAGGAAACACTCCTTTACATCTTGCTGTGATGTTAGGAAATAAAGGTTAGTAAATATTTTCTTATTTATGTTTAATCTCACTCATGTAGAGTAAACTTAAAAATGTTATGGTGAGTGTCGTCTTTTTAAATTATTAGTCTGGTTATTTTATTTGCTAATGGAGCTTAGTATTCAATGCATTAAAAATAACATATTATTTTCTATAGCACTTTTTTTCTGAGTCAGGATATCCAGTACTACATTTCATGTCTTTTGATTCTGTTTTTTCATTATTTGGTTATTTTCATCTAGAAAGTATTTATAATTTCAGGGTGCTTTTATTTCTGGATATTACAGGTTCTTAATTATTACAATATTTGTAAATACAAGTAGTTCCTGACTTACGATGCATTTGCATTACAATAAGTTATACTATGATTGTCTATTTTTTAATGTGTTTATTTTTTATGTATATATATGTACTAAAATATATTTATAAGTTTGTATGTAACATTTCCAACCCACAAAACAGGTAAAGATTGGATTTATAAGGGTGTTAATAGTAAAAGTCAATAACAATGAACTGAAAAAAGGAATTGAGGTATTTAGCTTACATCATAACCAATTTATGACAAGAGTCATCCAAACAGAACCCTGTATTCAAACAGTTACCTGTATTCAAACAGGTTTATGAGATTCTTTAATTCAGAATAATTTGTATATCTTAACTCGCTTAAGCGTAGCCTTTTTATGGTATATGCTTTTAATAATTTAATATTTTTTTATTCTTAATTTAAAAAAGCCTCATGTTGTTGTTGTTGTTTTTATGTGCCGTTGAGTCGGACCTGACTCATAGCGACCCCTCCTTGGGTTTCTGAGGCAGTATCACTACAGAAGTAGA